GTAGGGGGTGATGTTGCTGTAGTCGAACGGTGAGACGGACGTGTAGTTCAGTTTTGGGCACGCGTACGGTGCTGCAGGGATTATATATAGGTGTAGTAGTACCTCTTCGGGCTCTTGTACACCTTTTTCTTGCTACGTGTGCGTGTTCTTTAGATCCTCAGATGGCTCTAGCACTTTCGTGACCACGGGCCGAGAGTCTTTGCTAGATTTTGGCATTTAGCAACTGGCATACGGTTTAATGTGAAGTCAACAACAACAACAACAACAACAACAAATACAAAAAAAAAAAAACATCAATCACGAGATGCACACAACTTCCCACCCCCACTAAAAAACCGAATGTCACCCATCCGTTCGTCTGTCCGTTTCAATATACATTGTTGATCTTAGATTTGCTTATTAGGTGGTGTTTCGTTGTCGCGTGTTCGTGTTCCGTGTTTTTATGTCGTGTATTTGTTGGTGGGAGGGTCGCAAGCGAACACCTCCCCGGAAAAAAATTATGCGGTAGAGATACCCCCGAAGGAATATTCTCCAGGGATTACAGCACTCCAGGGTCTAGCCCAGTGCAAGAGCCTGCTCCCCCTGGGGTCACCAGTCATCTTGACCACTGGCAAGCCCCCGCCAGGTAAGTATGCTTCAGAATCATGTCGTTGGCGAACTTTATATATAGCCAATCATCCTAAACTCACCAATTTGGTCTGCGCCAACATGTACAAAGGAACAACAACCGTTTCGCTGTTTGTCTGCAGCAACCTTACTACCGCCGTGTATGCGATGGCTGGTGGTATACGGTGTGTGGGGATGAGCTTATGGTTCGAGTCCCCGGTATCAACCCAACCAAATACTTTTGGGAGGCTGGCAATGAAGACTGCTGTTGTAAAACTGACCACACACTGCTCTGGCCTTGCGGGTTCATCATGTGTTGGGGGGTCTACAGACTGTAGACACGTGCCTAGGGTCCCCGAGCCTATATGCCCTCATTTTGTTTTTGCCCGCTCTCTACGGAGATCAACGTAGGTTTGGCTTCGTTGCCCTAATGATACAGCAGTGTGCCCACGAAAGAAATGCGCTCAAACAAATCAGCTCCCTGAGGCGCATATCCGGCCCTCTTTTGGAGTACATCCAGCCCTCTCTTGAACTCTATCTTTTACGGTACACACAATTATCGCTTGTCAAATCAGACGATTTTTCATTCTCACCTGGCTCCGAGTCCACCACAATCAATAATCTCGTTTTTTGCCGCGTCACCCGGAACTGCCACGAGCCCTAAAGTCTGTGTTGTTTTGGGTCCCACCTCACCGCGACGCAAATGTAAGTAGATGGACTCATCCTCGACAAACGTTGGAGAGAGAAAGAGACGGTGTGATGATGTTGAATTACGCGTATCATATAGTCTATCTCCACAATTTAGCTGTCAGCTTCTTGTCGGACACGACTCTTCTGCTTGATTCACGAGTGAGTTTGTTTCCTGTCGGCCGGTTGTGTGTCGAAGCAGTCCAAGGCGAAGCAGGCCGATACAAGAGAGTCCAGCATCTCCCTGGAGGCCAACTCGTTGCGCGAGCAGCTGGACCAATGTCTCCAGAGGTTGACGGACGAGCAAAAATGCGCCGCTGAGAGTTCGAGGTAGGAAAAAAAAAAAGGCTTCAAACCGAGCAAGCACTCGAAACGCGGTGATGACCAACAACCAACGATTCTCTCTGAATGTGGGATTCCCTACTTGGGCCGTCGGCTTACGTACGAATAAAAAATGAGCCCAAGGAATCTTACCACTCTTGACAGGGATCAAAAGAGCCGTGCCTCCCTCCCAAGTAAAGTATGAGCATAGGAGCCCAATTCTTATGTTCTTGTGGTAGTCGATACAGTCTTAGCTGGTCGACCAATCCCATCTCCGCGGGAAAGTTGATCCCGCAGCCGAGACTACTACTTCTGTAGTTCCTGTTTCGGCTCGCACGGTAGCATAGGGTAGTTGGTGTAGATGTCCTCGCTTCCACCATCCGCAAAATGTTGCGATGTTTGTCGTGCCTTCCTCCTCCCCGCCATCGTGAGCTCTAACGACAGAGTGTTTGATGACGAATCGCCATGTTATGGATCCATCGCCGGCCTTGTACCACTCTTTCTGGTGTGAACAGGCAAGCGGAAGAGGAACTCGCGGAATTGAAAAACGCCCTCTCCAGCGCAAACTCGCGCCTGGCAAAGATGGACGCTCTGGAAGCGGATACGAAAGCTCAGGCGGAAGAGCTGAAGGAGCTGCGGGAGGAGAGGCGTAAACAGGACGCAAGTCTGACCGAAGAGCAGGGCCGCACACAGCACTTGGTGAGATTGGGGGGTGCGGCGTTATTTGTGGTATCGTCATGTTTGCAGGAAACCCGAAATCCACATAGAACCCCGCCACGAACACGTTTTCGTCCTCTTTATTATGGCGACGGCCCCCCCATTTTTCGTGGTGAGACGTGTCGTATGTATGTAGGGTACTACACTTTTCAGTGTATTTTTTCGTACAACTACAACCGTCCAGGGCCACACAGGAGGGGGTAAACACCAGGGCTTTTTTCTTCTTTTTCTTTCTTTTCAAACCCCACCGTCCTCCTGCGGTGCGTGCTGAATTTTATTTTTATCGCGAGAAGGGTCCAGCCGTCCCTTTCCCTCGTCAACGCTGCTAACGTGGAAGTTTGGTACTCACGAGAGCTTTTCAGCTATATTTCGCTTTCACCCGCAAATTTCGTAAATTTTTCACCCCATGGGGATTCGAACTCACGACCTCTGCGACTAGGGGATTACGCGGATACCACTAGACCACCGGGGCGACGGGGGCACGTACGCAACAAAAAAAACTGGAATGCCGCCTCAACACGGTCCTACGCATGATATTATTTTGGGCAACGGTGCCATGAAAGGCCGGCGCTCTCAGGGAACTGGAATTGGAGTCTGCCGCGCTGAACTCTAAGGAGCGGGAAGCGGTTTCTCGGGCTGAGGGCCTCCAGCAAGAGCTTCACCATCTTGAGTCCAAGGTAAGGTTGTTTTGACTTCTGTTACCTTTGACTACGTTGCGCTGTTGTATCCCTGAATATTTTCCCATGAGCTGCCATTGAGCACTCTGCAGTCGTAACTGTGCACATCCCCCAGAACAGACAAAACAACCCGTGTTTGCTCTCTGAATCAAAAGGGCAAGAAAACACAACAACATTCTCCACCAGAGGTTATCCCTGACACAAGGACTTTATTCGTGCCTGTCTTGGCATCCTCATGACTTCGCCACGGAAAGGTCTCCGAGCTGTCACTTCGGCGTGAGGAGCTGCAAAAGCACGTTGTGGTGCTACAATCAGGCGAAGAGGTCCAGGGTTCTCGCCGAAAGGTAACTGTCTTTGATTTGGTTGTCACAAGAATGCTTGAGAAGTATCAACACTAGGTCGGTCATGGGCCTCCCTATCATGCAAGCCGCCTACTCAGTTAGAAGTCCATTGTGTCTCATTCGCGACTCTCACGGAGCACAAACTTCACAGTAGCATCGTGCTTGCTTCTGACCGATATCGTTGATAACGGTCTTCGCTTTGTGTATTGAGTATTGCCGTCTGAACCCTGTATGCTTACAGTTTGTTTCATTTCGTCCCCGCGCACGCTGCATCAGGACAATACGGGGAAATGCTTTCTAGTCCGTTGCGATGCGTAATTTCCCTGGCTCACGTGCAAAAACCAACCGGCAGGCAGCGGAGGCGTTCGCTCTGGCGGAGAGACAAGACGAACTCTTGGAAGACGCGTCGGCTAGGCTTGGCCACCTTAAAGCCGAGTCAAAGTGAGGCACACAGTGGTGCACCCAGCAGAAGAAAAAAAGTATTCGTGGAGGCTCTTTGTCGTTCAATATCTTTCGGTCAGAAATAGATGCACATGTCGGTGTGACTTTTTCAGCATGTTGAAGAGTCACATCTACAGCACTGATGCCTGACACTTCAGTCCTCAGACCCCTTCCCTGTGTCCCACTAGCGCTCCTCTATTTGTATGTAGTTCTGCACGTAGCGTTTCAAGAGGCAGAGGTTGTTCGAGACAACATGAGAAGTCGTCCCTGACGCACCGACACAAGTTTCGATTCTAGCGAACTTTAAGCAGATATCATCATCTCAAAAAGACATGTGTTGTCAACGTTCAACGGTTGAGGAAAGCAACAAATGAATACGTGCCGCCCCCCACGTCGCAAAACTCCGCCCGCTCGTTTGGAAAGGCTCCTTCGGGAAGAGTTGGCCAAAACCAGAGAAAGTTCCGAAACCGCCAAAAATATCCTCGAACCGGTGCTCCAAGGCGCTAGGTCTCAGCTGGGACTGGAGTCGGACGGTTCTTGTGATCGCCACCCAACAGCAATGGCTGCGGCGACGCGAAAACAGCGTCGCAAGCAAGGGCACTCGTTCAACAGCGAATGCGGGAGCCAGGACGACTTCGAGGTCGAAAGCGGTGCCGGGCAAAGACAAGCCCGGTTGGATGAGGGGGGCGAAGACGAGGTGAACACTGCTGAGTGACAAGAACGGAGACTTACTTGGTCCTTGGGGGCGCACGGGGAGCTCAACGAACAGTAACCTCTACTGCTTCTGTTGTCGCAGGGCGGGGCCTTTTGTGTAAAATACTGACCGCGGGGACAAACTTGTGGTGCCATGTACTTGAACGTTTGTGCGGGTAGCAGGTGGAATTGGAGGATCTGGCCAGAGAAGCTGCCGACGTTCTCTTGCTTGTGCTTATTGGGGCCGAGGTCGGTCACGGAATGGGCGAAAGTAAGGAACCAGAAGGGCGAAATGAAAGGACGAGGTGGACAGCAACCAGGTTTCAAGACGTAAGCTGACATTTTCTCGCCAGCGCACCTCCACTGCTGTTGCCTGGTGTTGCCAGAGGAAACGTTCCTTGTATTTACCGGTCAAATTTCTGAGGAAACGTCTGTGATTGCTTCTTGTTTTGGGGTCTCGAATCGGTCCACACCACACAACAGCTGGTTGTAGTGGTGCTTCAACCCACCGCCAGGACGATCCAATTTGGTTTGGTTTTCCTTTTGGCAAGCGCAGTATTGATGTTTCACGCGCGAAGTGTTGAACAGAATCTCACGCCATGAGCATAAACTGTGAACCTTAACGTTGATCCCTTTGGTTCGATTCACTGGCACCTTGAGTACAGAATCCAAATTAAGGCTACTTCGATGGGTTCCGTCCCTTGCAGTGGCTCGACGTTGCTGCATGCACTATCTTCCGCTGTCTGCAATCCGCATCAAATATGCTCCAGGCAGGGGAACATGCTTGGACCTCAACTCGTCGAAGAGGTTCTGCCCGCAGAAACTTTCAGTCCAAAGGACCTTTACGCACCTCCAATCTCACAGCATCATCACCACGGTGTGGCATAGAGGACGCAGAAGAAGAACTCCAGTCGCGACACCATCGGCGGCGGCCGGTTGGTCAAGGAAATCCCGATCACGGGGGAGCATATCGCGCCAAAGACGGGACCGCCAGTATCGGCGGAAATTACGAGAGTGCCAGCGCTACAAAGAGGGCTACGAGCATCAGCGCGGAGAATGGAGGCGGGACTGGTGGGACAAGAGCTAAGTCGTCTTGTGAGCTGAGCCCGGGGGCCGTACACTATGACCACAGGAGCGGAATTGGTGCAAGAAGACGCGCAAGCTGTGAGAGAGGAGTTGCGGGCGCGGAGGCAGTCGCAATGCCCGATCATGACGCCGTTCGACGTATGGAAGGCATTCGAAGAGGAGGGGGTGAGGACGGGGGAGCGACGCTGCTTCATGGGGTGAAGTCGACACGACGTGGTCACCTTCAGGGGGGAAGGTATGCAAGTGTTCCTACAGACCTCGAGCAATGCTGCGCGATTGAATACAACAGTCGATAATTCGACTTTTGGTTGGTGGAGTGCGTTCTTGAGTTGAGGTTTGGCCGAAGTATGTGGACGGTGAAACAAGTGCTGAAAAAGTCATTACAGCTCAATGAGCGCCCTTAGCCAAGACGTTGAGAGGGAACGCTCCCGTCGAGACCCCACGGCGGGTTGTTAATCGCATGCAAGATTCAACACATGCTACGTGTCATCATGAACTCTTCAGCAAGAACCGCAGTTCATCACGAATGGTAACCGCCGTTAACATGTTCGGTAGGATTTACGAGACGACAATTCCATGCTTCTCACGTACAGGAACCACCGTATCGCTTCCGAGAGTTAAGGGAATAGAAGTTGGCCATCACACTGCTACTTCACATTACAGCCTGCCGTCCAGGCGGCTGAGTTCGCCGTCGCGCAACACCACAGAATGTCATTGGTGCAAGGTCGTTCCTTTAGCAATACCAGTCAGTGACGACTATTAAAACGTTCAAACTAGCCATGCGGCGAAGACTGGTATGCCGACGTACCCTCCGTCTGCCCACACGCCAACGAAAACCACAACCACGTTGCATTTTTTCTTGGTAGGCCACCCACTTCTATCGCGGACACCTGGATGAACACTCTACTTGACGGCAGCAGGCTGTCTGCTTCTGCCGAAAAGGATACGCTCTTGAGCACGGCTCTTGCTGGCAATTCAAGGCCACGTGCATGGGTCAGGGGCGGTAGGGACGGCAGCTGTCAGAGGACGACATCGTTGGGCTGCCAGAGTCCGAGCACTAGAAAGATCTGCCAACGCATCCACGACGCTCAGACGGCACTACAAACTCTTCGTAGAACTACGGACTAGTTCTTAAGCGAAGCGCGTGCAGTGACCCTTCGGTTGTGTAGGAAGCAGGGGTGGGTGCCTGCTTACCCCTTTGCTTCGAGTAGCCGTTGCCGTCACAACCCAGAGAAATGTTTTCGATGAGATTCAAATTCGAAGACTGATTTTCCTTATAGTCTTGAAGGAAGAAGCAGCGGAGCAGAGGGCAGGGGAGTAGCCATCCATATCTGTAGACCCAGTAGTGGGATGGAGTACCGTAGTTTTCATTGGGCTGCTTGGGGGGCCGGACACATCAAGCGGTGTGGGACATCATGCACCCCCCCCTAGCACGCTTCTGTGGCAAAAAAATATATATATATCCTCGGGGGAGAAACCCGCTGGAGCTATGTCAAACAAGAGAACCTCTGTGGCCTAAAAACACGCGGTTGCGTGAACCGGTACGTGGTATCTCACGATGACGGGCCTCTCGAAAGCATCTTCGAGAGATCCTTTGGGCGTGAAAAGAAGAACAAAAGTAGCTGAGGAATCTGCTACCCCTCAACAGTATGCCGCAAATGTAGAATGGAGGGGAGAATAGAACAGGGCCCTTTTGGTGACCCTTTTCCGTAGGACACCTACCCTAAGAAACTGGTCGCCCCGGTGTGGTGTGTAGTTTCCCTCGCAAACCTTCGTAGTGTTAACAGTACCAGGTTACCGGTCGTCTCTGCAGTGAAAAAAACCTGCAGTATGAGATGCAAAACGAATAGAAAATTCGGTTTCACAGTCTACGAAGAAGTGGACGGCTGAACCCCACTCGCAATAACAAGAAAGGCAAGCATGCGCAAAGGTGGGGGCATTAAAACAACATAATACTACTTGTACCTTGTTACCTTCCCCGGGTGGACCCTCCTGATACATCACACATACACGTTCACCGAAAGGTGCTGCACCGGTCGCCCCGGTGGTCTAGTGGGTAGCCTCGTAGCCTGCTAAGGGCCAGGTCATGGGTACGAGTCCCGACAGAGTGAGTTATTAAATCCTGGTCTCCGTTGGTAGCGACGCGCTGCAAAGCCCGTTGTTAGTAAACTTGATCGACTTATAAGTTGCGAGGGAAGGGATTGCTGTACCCTTCTCGCGACGAAAATATCTCAGGCAGGAAACGCAGGAGGGGGTCCAACCCCCCCCTCCTATGTGACCCCGGTGGGGTCGTCTAGCTGGTAGAATTGGAGGATAGGGGCCAGAGGGGTAGACGACAGAATCCAATGATGGGAGAAAAACAAACACACAAAAAAACCAAAGGTGCGTAGACTGGCTCCAGAATAGATGACTGACTCGACACACAGACACACACATTTCCCTCATGCAAAGTATGAGGCCCATGAGACCGACCCGCTGCCATTAGCCAGAGACTGTCTCTGAGGGTTACGTTAATTGGACGTGACATTCTTGTCGCAGCGCAAGAACCTCGGGAAAAATGTTCAACACTTCGACGTCGTTGTTGTCGGCGTCATCGCCACATGGCAAACTAGAAGCGGGCGGGACGGTCGGTTTTTCCCGTTTCTCGTTCTTCTATTTATGCCCACTAAATGCGGGGGGGGAATTAGTGCTATTGTCGCGGCGAGTGTTGTCACGAAGTCTATGTACACAACCAGGAGGCAAGCAAGTCGTAAACAACACAAAATATCATGTGGTACGCCAGTTTCTTGCGGGCGTACCATCGCATAGGAAAAATGTTCATCAGTCGCATGGAAGGTGACGGCAACCAGGTGCGCTGACCACTTGCACGTTCATATGAAGGGAATTCCGCCCCCCCCCCTTCGAACAGCAAAAGCTATCCTCAGGCTAGCTGTCCGGGCTACAGGGTCATTTTCGTTTTGGGACGCGGGCCCGGCCGGCCAGATCAAAGTTGTTACGGTACTCGGGCCACGTGTTATGGGGGGGAAGGTCTTTACGGTGGATGAGGTGTTCCTTTTCATCTACATCCCCTCAAGTGCCTACGCTGCCGAGACTGAGCATGTTGGGCAGACCGGCATATCCCCAACCGACAAGCGCCATCGCATGCGTCGATCTCGTCCCCATCAGATCATACGTAAGTTCATTTCAGGGAGAACTCCTTCGAGGCGACGGTATTATTCCCGAGAGATCTCACGCCATCTTCGCACGTATACCAGGAAAAATATTTAACGCTTCAATTTTCTTTCCGGTCTATACAAACCCAAATCGCGACGAAAGCACGCCTCATGCCGCTTGGCCATCAACAACACCAAGATGGTCTACTTCTGGGAACCCCCTGCTCGTCACGAACGTGCGGTTGGCGTCCCCTCCATCCTCCCCTGCCCCAGCCCCTCCTTGCGCTAGTCCCGCGGGGGTGGCTGAGGGAAATCCGGCAGTGGAACCACGCGCCCCTCCTCCCCCCGATGCTGAAGCCTTCTTCTTTCTCCGCACCCTGCCCCTGGCTTCCGGGGGGATTTTCTGAGAAGGGTCCGGTGGCATGGAGACCGTCAGGCCCGGTATTGTTCCCATCACGCTCTGATGTGATAAATTTGGGACACGCGAGGTTCACGGAGGAAGGAAAATGAGAAACTCGCTCGTGTAAGGAGGGGGCGAGGGTGTGGACGTCTTTCGCGGAATCACCTGGCTACACTGTTGAAAGTTGGCACGGATCCTTATCTACGACGTCTTTGCCCCCCAGTTTCTCCCCGATTCAGCAGCTGGGTTGAGAGAGGCAAGGGTTACGTCTTGAGGACGTATGCATATGCTCGACAGATACATTTGCACGGTGCTACTCGGCTTGCTCATCATGATAATATCGGGGGAACCAGCCCTAACTAAGCATTAGTGCGAGTGGAGAGATGTAGTTTCGCTTTAGTGGCTCGGGTGTACAAGGACTCACAACTAAATAAACACATGGCCCACTCGCCGCCCGGGCGTCCGGTCAGAACGTCAAGTGGATTGCAGCCGAGAACATCATGGAAGGCACATTTCAGAAAACGAACCCGCGATAGCCCGTTCTGTTTTTCTCTGTGATATAGGTGCCTCCATCGGCCCTTGGAGTCTTCCCTCTCCGGTGAGTGCACCCTCGCCTTTCCTTTGAAGAGTTTGGAACGCTCATTCTAGCTTTTTTCGGCGCACCGGTGACAAAACCTTCCAATCACACAGATCTTCCTCTGAACCATCTACTTTGTTCACCTTCTTTATCTCCTCCGTCAACTTGAGCCCCTCCACGTTCTGTTTGGACTCGAGGACGGTCTGCACGTTCCGGTTGCGCTGAAGCAGGCGTTTACTGTCAAGGTTCCTCTGTTTGATATGCTCCTTGCGCCGGGCATCAATTCTCTTGAGCAGCGCCTGCAGCTCCGACTGTGCAATGGTAAGGATCGAACGGGGCCACCGGTTTTGTTTTGCTCCAGTGGTCGGGCTCTACACAAAGACGCGGACCCAGCGCGGTAGGAGGTTGTTGGTGGGCCGTCCGACGAGTCATGGGTTAACCAACACATGTTGATATTATTCTTGCTCTTCGCCTTCTCACGAGAAGAGCAGTCCCTGCCGCTTTTCCAAGAACAAACCGATCCAAGCGCACACTCAAGGTGAATGGCCGCCCCAAGGCTACCATCGCAACCCCTCCCCTGATATAGGATCAACCAAGATCAACATCAAAATCTGTCCGCGACCGTGTACCTCTAGATCCTTCGCTTGGCGATTTGCGGTACACGCAACAATACATGCACGCTTCGTACAATCAAAGTTGTTTCGATGCGACTTTAACGGTGAAGGTAGACTAATCTGGTTCTATCTTGTACCAAAAGTGGGTTCATGAACTTCAACCGATTTTTCTCTCGCTGAAAACAGTCCCAGATTATCGCGAAATGTAAGAACAGCAGCTGGCTCAGAAGCTCTGCTCAGCGGTGGACCCTACACTATGCAACTGTATACCTCTGAAGTACAATGAGATGCTCGACGGTGGTGGTGACGAAATTCGAAATTAGCCTCGAGCCGAAATTGACGTTTTGGACGTTCCTTTTCTCCGGGCGCCAACTGTACCTGCTGCTGGCCACGAAAAGCCGCTTCTTTCCTCGCCAGAAACAGGCCCCAGTTTTCGGTCGTCGCGTTTCGTTCAGATTCCTCCAGTTGGTCCGCTATTTTCTTCACCTGTTGGTGTGTCAAGTGAGAGCTGCACTTTTGAGGAACGTGGCTTTCAAGCCCACATGTAGACTAGTCTTTACTCTTGCCCCAACAACAATGTTGTCGTAAGCACGTTCTCGTCATTTTGTTTAGGTCTGCCTGTGTGTGCGGTGGACAAGCAATGTTCGCTACTTGACTCGCAGTAATTATGGGATGCTTGACAGCGCTATGCCTTGTAACTTCAGGAAGAAGCATTCCTCCAGCACCAAGCTCGACAAAGTCAAACATGTGTACGTTGCTGCAAGCATTATACATTGACTACACCAGTATTGTGTACTACGTCAGAGCGTCGTGTGTAGATGCACCAAACGTCATCCGGATCTGGCGAGAAGGAGGTAAAATACTCGATTGCCCCGCGACACGCCTCAATCCACGTATATCCCAGTGAGTCATAACCCATGCGCCATGTGTACTCGCCTTTTGTGCTTCCGCGTAGTTCTTCTGGCGTGCCAAAATATGTTGTCTGCGTCTCCACTCGAGCAGTTCCTGTTTGTGATGATGCATACACACAGCAGCGGAGGGAGAGGTTGGATAATAAGCAATACTCGCCCTGGATTCCCCACCCACAAACTATTCGAACATTTCCACACCATTCAAGTGAGCCAGAAGCTGAGGTCGATCTCCTGTAGAACGTCGATTGGGTGTGCCAAGAGCGACGGGCGACCGGCACACCGGCTGACTGACCGGGTTCGTTGCTCCATGAGTTGTATGCATATGAGCATCTCCGTAGAGGGGCTGCACTTCATCTTCGAAGATGTAGTCTACAGAGGAGCTGCTGGTCTGATGGTGTATACCAGCTCCTGCTGCTGATGATGTAGAGTTTGGGTCCCGAGATCCGCGACCCCCGGAGGCTAACCTACTGCTGTAGTCCACCTTAAGTGCACTGTACCCAAGTACCCCCAAAGAGGAACGTATCCTTGATGGATTGACTTGATCCGATCACCACTCACCCCACCCATGATGCACGAAGAAAGAGGCAAAAAGCAGCGAGTTTTTTCATGTTGGCGCAGACCAAATTGGTGAGTTTAGGATGATTGGCTATATATAAAGTTCGCCAACGACATGACTCTTAAGCATACTTACCTGGCGGGGGCTTGCCAGTGGTCAAAATGACTGGTGACCCCAGGGGGAGCAGGCTCTTGCACTGGGCTAGACCCTGGAGTGCTGTAATCCCTGGAGAATATTCCTTCGGGGGTATCTCTACCGCATAATTTTTTTCCGGGGAGGTGTTCGCCTGCGACCCTCCCACCAACAAATACACATTATGCTATCACCACCACCGTCCCTATCCCCCCACCATTAGCTACTCCTGCAGTACCAACCCCCACGTGCACAAGCAGCTATTCGCACAAAGTGGCATACATCGTGCATGTGATTGATATACACATTTTTTTCATAGTACACAATACTGTAGTGAGTGAACACACATCATACAATCACCACCAACCCCCCCCCACTATTACCCCACTATTAGCTACTCCTGTAGTACCAATCCCCACGTGCACAAGCAACTATTCGTACAAAGTAGGATACTAATACATCGTGCATGTGATTGATAAACACATTTTTTCATGATACACAATACTACTGTAGTGAGTGATGATAGTGTTGTGTTTGCTACATACTTCACGCTTAGTCTTCAGTATTTCTCTCTGGTGATGATGCTTACGTACATACGTACATACACATACAGGTCGTGGTGTCGACAAACTATAATACATTTGTATTATAGTGAAGGATGACGTGTTCAACGGCGGCGTGTATCTATGCACACATCACACGTACTCTAAAAAAATTATCTTATGGTGATGATGCTGCATAAGACATGTAGTCTACACGTCGTGATGTCGACAAAGCAACTGGATACTACTCACTCACCTAAACGAGCACGCGGACGGATAAGATTCGGTTGACCTATGTATGTATGTAGTAGTGATATTTATAAGCCATGCATGCCTCTCCGCCTCCCCCCTCCTCCCCTCCCCGGGGGAGGCCGAGGCCCGCAAGTGCAGTTAACCCTCGAAAAAACCACCCAACAACGACGGATATACGGTCCCTAGCATCGTGTAGGAGAGGATCCTGAGTTTGGCGGTCGGGCGTTACCGCGGTCACGAGATCGAGGTAGGTCGTGATAAGCCAACTTGGAGACAGCTGCCGATGGGTTTGAACCCAAATGCCCCGGTTTGGACACCGGGGCAAGGCAGCGGTGGAGAGCACGGAGAGGGTGGCGGGATGATCGCACACCGTGTGGGTAAGCACCCAACAGGGGGACGGAAAGGGTCCAGAGCTGGAGAGCCACGCCGCTCCGGGACAGGAAGACACCTCGCTGGGAAAGGCAAGCACCGGGTTAACTCTTACATTAACCCGAGGATCCGCAGAGCAATAAAAATAAAGAAAATAAAAAAAGGAAGGAAGAAGAGGAGGAGGGGCCGGAAGGTGCGTAGGCTGATT